TCGAGTCCTGGTGGTGACAGTCAATTCTTTCTTCAGACTTTTCCCGTTTGTGTCTTTCCCTCAAACCAGTGAATATTCAAAGATTCTTTATCCAGAGAAATAGGTAGGCAGCACCTTTTGGACTTGTCAATAAAGCAATTCCACCTCCACCACCACATGCACTCTCTGGCCGACCATCAAATAAGCAACAACACAACTCCAAGTTGTAGATACTGACATTTGTGACAAATAACATTAATTTTCCTCCATGCAGCGCTGTTTCGACCATTCAGGTTCCATCAGTGACGGTTTGGAATAATGAATGACTGGAACCCATTTGAAAGCACAGTTTTATGCACAGAATGAAATGAAGAAGCCCCATCCCGCCCTTAGAGTGCTAATTCTTTATCTCACAGATCTCATAGATCCTGTATCACATCTCAGCCCACAGATCAGACACAGGATTAACGAGAAGAATACCCAACAGTTGTCGATTGAACCAAGAATGTTGTGCTTTCACTATGATAGCGGTAGCGGTGTACAGTTGGGCTCGGTGAAATCCGACGCAAAGTTCACAATTCGCGCCCGGAATTTACACGTACATGGCCCTTGACACCCTGGGCCTGGATAAGAGTGATACGAATGCGGCTAAGGGTGTCCACATGTACATATACACAGTAGAGAAAGTCCTCTGTTCACGTGCTGCTCCGCTAAGGGCAGAACCTCCCCCACAAATCAGGTGGAGCCTAGTCTGTACAATCATGCAAATGTCGTCATACGACAATTCTTCTATATAACATTTTAAAAATAAAAGTGGTTAGCAGTCACCAAGTCAACATCCCACCCTCCTCTAGTTTATCTCCCTACGCGTTTAGACCTCTGTTTCGCGTGCTTCTGTATAGTAGTCAAGCCGTGTGCCCAAATTCTGGCTCCTCTCCGAGCCCGGAGTAGAAACTCAGCTTGGCTGTAGGGGTCACCTGGTGCTGTACATCTTAGGGTTGTGTATCTCCACATACATGTAAGCGCACTGACACAGCGTCCGCTCAAGCAGCACAATCCTGGTATACTCGTATCACTGAAGGGCCGGTTGGAGACTTTCAACCAGGGAGTAGTATAATACCGGTATTGTACTACTCCCTGGTTACAACTGTGGCAGGGAAGCTAATTGATGAAGTAACTGTTGTTTCTACACCGGGAACAATAAACAGTGTAATGATTATGTTATTGGCAACTTGGGCTGAAGATGGCACACACACACACACACACACACACACACACACACACACACACACACACACAAACACACACCACACACACACACACACACACACACACACACACACACACACACACGCACACACCACACACACACACACAAACACACACACACACACACACTTTTACTTGTTGCTCACTGCCAAAACTGGTCACGTGGGTCTCCCCGGGAGAGGGAGAGAGACTCAAAAGGAATCTTGGAAGGATGACTGAATTGGCTATTGAACCGCCCAACGGTCGACACCCCCTGAAATCCTCAAAACTCTGGGTGGACTTGAAAATGATCCCACTTATGTTATGGGCTCACCACACCTCAGTAAGTGGGTGAGGACAGGGTGCAGAAAAAGGATTGACGCCATCAAGGTATCCGTCCTGGGATCCAACTGCAGTTCCCCCTGCCCCCAGTGAAGATAATACTTGCTACTACTAGTGTGGGTGGCTAAATCAGAGTGGATCTGATATAAGCTTCACTAGCACCATTGATTACACAAGAGTTAATCTAGCCAGAAGCAGTTCATGGTTAACAGGTATGTATACTTCAAATAGAAAGTACTGTATAGCAGGAAATTTTCGGACGGAAATATTTTCGGACAAAGCCGAATTTCGACCTTTCGTACGGATTTTATTTTCGTACAGTGCTGCATGCTAAATGCACGTGTTCGCAAGCAGTACCCATGTATAGTGTACATAATTTCACATGAACAAATTTTAGTACGGAATTAATTTTAGTACAAAAGAGGCCGTGTACGAAATCGTACGAAAATAAATTCCGTCCGAAAATTTCCTGCTATACAGTATATGAACCCTGGAACCAACAAAGGTGGCAGGTACAACATCACACCTTCAAGCACACACACACACACACACACATTATACGTGTGTAAACACTTCAGTTTCGTTGACTCTTCAACTTCGGATGGGTCACATACATGTAGCTTCAACACACAATAATTATTGTCAACACACTGTTCTTCACTACACCTCATTGCGATCGGTTCAGCAGTCACTCTGAGCTCCGCTGGTGAGATCTATAACCACGGTCCATACCCGCTAACTCTGGGGAGATGGAGAAGCTACAACACACAATCATGTGCTAACGAATATAGTTTTGAACTTTGCACACGGACAAGCACTGGTACGAGAGTCCAGACATGACGGTCGTGCCTTTCTAATCCAATGAGAAAACCCACCATTGCATTATTTCACGTCATGATGCACACAAGTCTGTCATGACATTCGTGTACTAGTGTAGCCATGCATGGTCATCACCAATCCGTCAGAAGAGTGAACCGCTTCCACTTCAGTGCATCTGTCTTCAGGATCGTCTAGTCCGGTTGCGTGAGCGCACTGCGGCCGCTGTCCGCATCCAAGACCGGTTGACGGTTGGAGCATGCACTTCAGTCAGGATCACAGTGAGCTAAAGCCAGTCGAGGAGCAAGCAGCCAGTGAGCTAGAGGAGCAAGTATGCCTCACAGCTGAGAACAGTATATCAACAGAACATACTGGTCCTCATCTCACCAGTTACAATCGGAGAAGGAGAGTGTGAGAGAGGAATCATCTTTAAAGATGGTTCGTTCTCTAAGCATCGTCCTCGTCTTCACCGCCCTGGTGGCTGTCAACGCCCTCAGTAAGTGATGATTTGATGGTATTACTGATCTGGTTTAGAGAAAAAGGACTTCATAGGGTGATTGACACTGGCTTTGATTTCTGGGCACGGGGTTTCCTCACTTTTGTGTCTCCAGTTACATAATGTCTAAATTTTCGGGCAATATCCTATACATAATGGACAACCCTCTCGGGCAAAGTAGTAATACAGGGCAGCGGCCCCTTCAGGATATTGGCCTAACAGTTACTTACTGAATTTCCTACGGTAACAGCAGGATACAAGAACAACAGATACATGTGCAATCATGCACATATACACCCTCGCTGGCTCTTACCAGTCTTTGTATCATACTGCCGTGTATTGCTTCAAATACGCTGATAAACTACTTTTCCAGTACAGACGATCCATACGTATCATTGTTATAACGTTATATTTATCAACCAGTGCTTAGAAACTAGCTCCAATAGCATGTACGTAACGTTCATGCCCCCCCCCCCCTCCATCAGCATGCTGTACGGGTTCATTTCCGCCGCATTCTTAGCCCAGACCTAGGATTTAGGGTGCATTCTTACTACTTATTTCCCAGGTATTGTGGTTGTTGACGAGTAAGAGCGTTGAACTAGACGTACATGTACATGTGAATGGAGTTTTGCATTCAACACTCGCCTTTGGGTATTGATTCAACTGTTGATGCTTTAAGACTCTATTATTGTTGTTGGTGGGTTTTGTGTATGTTATCTAGATCTTGATCGTCCACCACTTGACTGCACTACTGTGCTGTGTGCTGCTCCCAACTGCAACAATCCGACCATCCCGGATGGGCAGTGCTGTCCAGTATGCCCGGACTGTAGCGCCGTGCTGTGTCTGCGACCAGAGTGCTCCGGTGGATCTCAACCAATCGCCCCACCAGGAGAATGCTGTGCAGTCTGTCCAACACGTAAGTCTATTATACAGTATAACACTCAGTATTGTCTGCAGTAGCAGTGAACCTAGCCTAAATGGATATGACGCAGCGCAGCGCAAAGGGCTACTCTAACTAGTGGAGTGAGAAACTTACCATCCGTATTCCAGGCATGATGCTTCTTTTATGGCATTTAAAATCAGGAGAGGTGCTGTACATTTTTTGGTGCATGATCTTGCTACAAGTCCACTCTTGTTTGTGCCCTACACACATAATAGTATTCTGGCAGATCAATCTCCCTCACGTCCTTGGTGGATACCCTCTGAATTCATACACGAATGTATATATTTTCCATACATTCAAACCTTTCTTTTCACTGTTCGGCACTTTGTTTTGCAGCTGCTCCGACAGAGACACCCAGGACCTTAGCCACTGTGCTACCAACACCAACGTGCCCCAAGAACGAAGTCTACTCGCAATGTCAAGGTGGTACATGTCAGCCTACGTGCCAGGGTCCAGTCAACTGCTTTGCGTGCAGTCCTGGATGCCGATGCAAGGATGGCTACGTCAAACTCTTCACCAAAGGGTCATGTGTGCCGGAAAGCAACTGCCCAACAAGTAAGTATACACAGTTACACACGCATACTGGAGACTGTAGGTAAAGGAACGCCTGGAGACTGTAGGTTATGGAACGACTGGAGACTGTAGGTAATGGAAGCATACCACAACAGATACACAAATCCCAGTTACTAAAATTTCTCATTAAAGCCACAGTATACAGTATACATGTACTAGTACTGTATTCACACATTCTGGTTGTGCTGATGTCATTAATTTTAGTATTATTATTCTTTATTCTCACGATGGCAAGCCTTGGCGACTCGTGCCTTAAAGGTCTGTGGTGTGCATGTGGAATATCAGCATTGTACAGTTGCATGCAAGCCAACATGTAACAACTCAATGATGTGTAAGACCTGCATCCATGGCTCTAGCCGTATCTCAGGCTATTATCTACATGATATTGGAGTGTTATTGATGTTGATTGTCTCTCTCTCCCTCTTTCTCTTTCTGTCTTTCTCTCTCTCGCTCTCTTTCTCTTTCTTTCTTTCTCTCTCTCTCGCTCTCTATGTTTCTCTCTCTCTCTCTCTCTCTCTCTCTCTCTCTCTATCTATCTATCTATCTCTATCTATCTCTATCTATCTCTATCTATCTATCTATCTATCTCTCCCCTCCGTGTAGGCTGCCCAGCCAATGCAGAGTACACGCGTTGTGGAGGTATTTGCCAGGCAACATGCTCCTCTCGTGTCCGGTGTAGAGCATGCCGTCCAGGATGTTCATGTAAACGAGGTTACATCCTGGAGAGTACAAATGGACGATGCATCCCGAAGAAGACGTGCCCAGGTGTGTATATTAATTAAACAACGTAAAATTCGCAAGTTGGCGTCACCACCTGTCATACAATTGTGTCAGAGGTGTTAGGAGAATGTGAATACATGAACCCATGGTCTTACGATAGGTGTGCTTCCACTTCTTCGACACGTAAACGTACACGTACGTCAAGCCTAACTGTTACCCGGCACCCATCATAGTTCTTACCAAGATGTGTTCTTGGTTATACCCATAAGCCGCGTTTAAACGCTGTAGTCATCCCTAATAATATCCCAGAAGTATGATGTGTATACGGTTTATGTCGAGATACTTAAATGCGACTAAGGCTGTCGTTGATAAGAAAAAAACCGGACAGTAGTGCACCCTGTTGCCATTCACATTGGCGTACTGCTGTACTTTAAGGTATCTCACTATCGTGACCACTACATGTAATACTTCCCCGCACTGAACTGTGGTTAATGTTACAGTCAAACCTCTTTAGGACGAACATCAAGGGACCGATGATATTTGTTCGCAATAACGGGAGTTCTTCTTATCCATAATAAAATAAATAAAAATAATAAATTATGTTTTACCCAGTGAATACACAGGGTTTTATCCAATATACAAGTAGTTACGAATACTAGTTCTTCTTAGGCAAACATTTGTCTTGTCAGTGTTCTTCCTAACCAGGTTTCAATGTATCTATGATGCTAGGGCGTTGTCACAAATCACGCGGCAGGTGTTTACCACAGCGCCGCAGGAGAGGCAAGCCAAGACTGCACCGCCGCCACCGCCTCCGCCGTCCAGTGTGTCATAACGGACGATGTTGGGATCGCCGGCTTGCCTGCCGAAATGGACGCTGCCTTTCCCGCCGTCGCAAAACTTGCCGAAATGGACGATGCCTACACCGCCGACGACGACAGAGAGCTTGCCGAAATGGACGATGTCTTCCCCGCCGTCGCAGAACTTGCCGAAATGGGCTGTGCCAACACCGTCGCCGCAGACCTTGCCAAAAAGGACGCTGTCAGCCCCACCACCGCAGAGTTTGCCGAAATGGACGCTGCAAGTATCGCCGCCACAGAGCTTGCCGCAATGGACGTTGCCAGCGCCGCCGACGTAGAGGTTGCAAGCTACGCGCTGGTCACCGACGCTGTTCTCGACGCAATGGGCGGCGTGGATCCCGTCCCAACCGACATGCACGCAAGCATCTACCCACCAGCACCAACATTACCAATACCGTTACAACTGCGAGATATCTACCTCCTGTTGTCAGATACTAACTTACTGGCGTTGTCAATAACATGGCACTAAATATCATGTTGGTAATGTAATAACATGGATTTAGTGTAGCTTTGCTTTTCATTTCTTCTTGGTGGATAGTCATACGAGAGTGCAACTACAGAAGGAAACCGGGAACGACCCTCCAGCACTACTAGTGCTATGATTTGTGCAAGGTTTCTGATCTTTAGCTCATATTTCTTCGGGTGATCGCAACTAGAACTCTGCGCAATCCGCACAGTAGACGACAATATTATAAGACTGGATGGAAAATCCATACCCAATTATTCTATGGCCGCGGTATGCCTTTTCTTTAACCATTAGATATCTACAGATTTATCCAGACTCCTATTTCATTGGCACATGTGAACCGTTGGGAACATCCTCGGAATATATTGATGTACTATTCATGCATGGGCTACTGCTACGCATTGCCACTCGAAACTCACATCAGACTATTCACCACACTCACAGAAAGAGAACAGTCGGCAATGAGTGTCTATTGATCCCAATCGTCCACGCTGAAGGCGGTGGTGAGGTGTAATAACTCTCAAAATAGCACATGTACTCCTCTCCTCGATGTCAAAACCAATGGCACACCAGTCTTAACGAATTTGCATTGCATGATTCTGTCGGTTGCCTGCAACAGTACGATATTGGCTGGCATGCTTTCTGATATTTCTCCATGGATAAATTCCATTGATAGCTACTAAATAGGCCAAAACATCTCCTCTGGACACTGGAAATGGAACGAGTCTTTTACCTTACGAAAACACAACAATGAACGTACTGCACTACACTCTGAGGAACAACGATGCAAAAAGCCTAACAGAGGACACTGAAAAAGTTCCGATGCCATTGACAGTAAATATATTTCAAAGCATGTACCAGGAGTACATTCGACCGTCGGAGATCATGCACACTTCGTAATAGAAAGTGTAGACATTATGTACATGTATCTGTGTGATGAATGTTTCTCAACACATAACTTCATAACTCTCGCAAAAGGTACTGGCTTGGACCGTTGCTGGCCCGTAGGCACCGGCGGATAGTGTTAGCATAATAACTAGCACAATGACCCATGTGGGGCACTGACGGAACTGCCCTAGCATAAAGTCTCCAGATGTGACCTTGTCTAGCACAATCGATGTGTGAAACTATCACAACGTCCAGTCTTTTGGCACCACCATGAAAAGTAGCGCTATTTTCAGAGCGCAGAGAGACACACTGCTGCTCTCTGCGACGCTACCAGCCCTCTGTACTGATGTAATGAAAGTGTAAGCATTTTTCACTGTTTGCCCTGTGATACTGCCATATTCTGAGTGACGGCATAGGGAAGTCATTATTTCCCACCACTGCTAGCATTATAACTAGCATAATCGCTCCAAATAACTAGCAGTGCTGGTAGCACAATTTCCATGATAACGGGAGATTGAGAAATTAAACCATGTGCTCACCCTTATAACTAAAACAGACAATTTCGACCATCATTTCCCGTCATACTCATGCTAGTCATAGACTAGTGGTGGAGTACACATCATACAATGTACTGTAGCGGACATTGAAATCCGTTGAGACCGGCGTGAAGCGGTCACGGCCCGCCGGGCGCTGGCCTTCCAGCCACGAGCACTGCTGGTCCATTTTACAGTGTGTACGTGAACTACAGTGCATTTATTTATTTATTTCTGCACCTCGTGGCATGTCAAGACAGCCAATTGAATTGAGGAGAAGGTGAGACCAACCACGGAAGAAGAGAAAAAAGAAAATGAAGAGCACGTACACAAAGTGGGAAGGGATTAGCAACTTACAAAGCAATGGGATGTATAATTATGTACATGCACATGTAGATCTACGCGCTAAAAACAGCAAGGGCGCCGGCCCCGGTCATCCATCGCCCATCGGATAACAATGTCCACCACAGTAGGTACCCTGGTGACCATTAATTTTTTCGAGGACCTAGTTCCAGCAAACGTAATAAGACACTACTGTATAACACGCATATTTCGGTGTAATTTTAATTTCGGTAGAGAAACCAGGCACCTAAATTTAGACTACACCTAAAAGGTGCTAGAGTATGCACTGCATGTGAAGGGAATGCTGGTCACCTAATTCTAAATTACACCTGAAACCTGGCAGGTCTCCGGCACCGGAATTTTAATACACCTAAAATTACATGTTATAGTTATACAATAGGTTTCAACCCCCCCCCCCCCACGTACACATACCTGTCATTTGGTGATGCACATGTACATGTACATGTAGATGCGGCTATCTCATCTTCCTTCCACCACCGTATTGCTTGTACATACATGTAACTATGACCGGCGACAAACTGAACCGACGCTGTTACTAACGTTACAATATGTGCGCATGCATGCGCACCAAAACTCGAAAGGCCGCATGCTTGTCGAATACTAGTAACGTCCCACTCGACTCGTACTCCTCAGTCAGAAACACAATACGGATAGTCATACTAACTCAGTCAATGAGAAGCTTCAGAAACAGGAATTAGACCACGCATTTTTGCTCAAATACCACGGAAAGAAACTTGACTTGTGAAAGGTTGAGGCAGCGTTAGTTTGTCAGTGAAATAAAAATCCTCAGCACTGATTTTCCCACATTTTAAAAGTGTGTTGGTCATGAAAGGGTTACAGCTACAATGTAGTAACTGAGGGTGTAGATGCGTGATAATGGAGCATTGGAGGGTACTGAAAAGGAGCAGACGTGTGAACGCGAACTGAGGGCCCAGGACAACACCACACAGGCACCAGTCCAGAGTCACGACATTCTGATGAACCACAGCCATCTACACGTAAATGTACAAATATTACACAGCAAGGAATCAAACAAGTCTCTTTCCGCTGTTACTCCGAGTTTCGTGTGAAAACACTTCATCAGACAGCATATGACCAAGACTAACAATCACGCCACGTACATGTATGTACATAACCAGGATAACAGCGTATCGATTATCTGTGTAGTGAACTGTTCTCGAGAAGGATAGTGTTATGGCTGAACTGGGATTTTGGCACATGCATGTATTTCTGTGCCAGAGGCAGAGGTTAGTATAAAGCGACATAATCCATCCGGTTTGCAGTGGCAGAGGACATCTCACGTGCCTTGTTTTAAATGGACGCACAGTGCTGTGCGAATGATATAATATAATAGGGATCCGGCCGACAGAGGCTGAATTCAGTTGCTGAGTGCAGTCTACAGACTACACGTAATTATTTCACAACACGTAATGTCGTTCATCAGTGAACCTGCACCATAGACTCCATAGCCGTTTACGCAGCTTATGTCAGCTATGGTAATTTAGGTCTGTTCAGGCTTCCACGTTTGGAGCATACATGTACAGGCCATAACAATGCTATGTAAAATCACTGTATCCAGCCACCAAAGGTTACAACGACTAGTCGTTGTAACCTTTGGTGGCTGGATACAGCTCTACCTTGCAAGCAGAATACTGAATAGCAATCCTAGCACCTTGACCGCGGGTACAACCTGCTCAAGCGGCCACCAGGTTTTGGCAATCACCCTGCAGCCTCTACTACTCTCTCTGTATCTAGTATCTACAGGTAGATCTGACACTGAATGTGTGGAATGTGCAATGTGCACCCTGGCTTCAGAGACCGCCGGCCTTCAATTAGCCCTTGGCTGATAATGCTCGAGAAATGGGCGATTCTGCTCGAAAAGCAGTGAAATACGCAGAAACATAATGGTTTATGGCAGGCACTTCCTTGCATTCTGCTCTATTTCTTTATCCACATTCCAAACATGCATGAAACACACCCGGAAAAGTACCAAAATCTGCCAATTTTCTTCAGGCAGTGTCCGGTATCCGCCGAGGGCTATCTTCAAGAGCTCGTCCATAGACCGGTCCCGGTGGTGCCAAATACATGTACAATCCATGTACATGATTGTACATACAAGTAAACGCTGTAAAACCAGGTTTCACCTCACCGTTCTCATGTACTTTTTGCACTGAATACCGACTGGAGTCGTGCACATTGAATTGGCTCTGTGGCTGTCAATCTGCGTTTACATGGTTTACCCTCAGGATGTCCTATGACTTAATCCGACATCGGGCTGATTTCGCTGCTATTCATCGATCTGCTCGAATGCAAGACACTCCGCCATAAGCTGGTCAAAGACACCGCACATGCTGCAGGATCATGGCGCAATTAACGTCGAAAGCTTGCAAGTGCGCATCCAAGGTCGACCATGATGACAGGACGGGGAAAAGGAGCTGCCTAGCGCCGCATGTGCGTCATCTCTTGACGCGTGCTCTAGTGCTTATCAAGAATGCGTGTGGAGCCTGAAGGAGTCCAGGATTGCTTGAAAGGCAATAGTCTAACTGCGAGACGGACAGGCACGCTGTCTGCTCTCTTGCTGATCTGCTTCTTGCGAGGAAGGTGGACTCAGCTGGCACCTGGGACAGATGATTCGTGTAATTAAGAAAACCCGAGGTCAGTGCACCTCTGCCTTCCAGGCCAGAATGACAGTCTACGACAGTCGACTAAAAGACGAGAAAAAGACAAATTTGGATGAAGTTCAAGGATGTCTGTCATAATCAGTGCCAATCTATGCTACATTCAAGTGAATCGTGCAGCACTCCTATTGGAAACGAGTGTTAGCTAATACTGTAGTACGAATATTGCCATGCATGATACATGCATGTGCCTGCAGGCGTACAGACTAGTATCCAGTGCCAAACACAATAGCACCCCTCGCGAAACTGTCTTTCACGAGTAGGTGAAGATTTGATTCGCGACAGCCGCAAGGCGCAATGTCAATCGTTGAGCTCGAATGCAAACTGTCTTTTCTCTCTCTCTCTCGCCTAATACTGTAATTGTTGGCCCCGTGCCCTGGTACTGCTGAGTATTCTGTATGACTGTGTAATGCTTGATTGTCTGGAGTGTAGGCAACAGATTTGGCTTATCCGCTATCATAGTTTATATAGGCCAAACACCGACATAATACTCTCCAGCTGACGTCACCATACCAGAAACACGACTCTAAGTACAGAGTGATACAGACATCCTGCAGTTTCAATCTTTATCAATATCTGGTCAGTCCAGGTTGTAAAGCACCGAATGGCCTGTGAATAGCACTTCATATCGTATTGCGTGACCTTTCAATGGTCTTTTCTTTCCTTTCTCACGTAGACTCCTCCTTGGTTTCCATTTTCTCTCTAGCTCTTCTCCTGTACCTTCTTGCTATTATTCAAGAAGGCGGGGCTTTGAATAAAACTAGTACACATTCTAGTTTATAGAGGTAACAACGTAAAAATAAAAGCTAATACACGGCGGGGAATACGTGCAAGACCCTGGCCTACGACAACTGTAAAGGTACTGCGGACATGTACATACGATGACATAATACTGAACAGAACTGCACTGAAAAGAGGCTGTAATCCTGAAGAGCTACTCGGAGAAATTCCTGTCAGGAGATCTACAGTCGGGTATCAATACGACAATAGTCTTTAACTTACTTGGCCGCTGAGGGGGGAGTGAGTCGTGTTGCAGGTGTAGTGAACCAGGCCGGGCAGGGTCGGCGGCAGAGAGTAATGGATATGAAGACTGGTGGGAAGTTAGGTTAGACTCTTTAGTTTAGTTATGCTTGTTCATTTTCTCCTTCACAAAACCACTTACACTAGCCTAGGCAGCCCCACAAAAGGCTGTGAAAGCACTGAAGTCCCAATGCCTATGTTATTACAAGGACACATAACAGAAGGTGACAGCCAGCTATCAATCTCTCACATGTAGCCGCCAATGAAATGCGCCTTGCACCAAGCGCTTTATGAACTAGCAACTACCACCAACACTATGCTATGCACTCAAAGACAGCGGTTATATTATAACATTTACGAGGTGCAATGGCCAGTTCAGTGTTTCGGTTCCCTACATCAATGCAGCACACTTGGCTGTTCACCGGACCCAGCCCCCCCCCCCAAGACACACACACACACACAAACACACACACACACACACACACACAGACTCTCTCTCTCTTGCGCACATGCGAGCAAACCGTTCAAACGCGCATACACGTCACGCTCTAATCTCGCACGAATTCAATCCACACCGTAGATATAATAACTGGAACTTTGGCAAATCTTGATCCACCACATCGTAAAGATGAAAAAATTATTATTACTTAGAAGCAGGGGGACTGCAATGGTATCTCAATTATACAATGATGTCAAGAGGAAATGTTCAGTAAATGAAAAAAAGGAAGGAAGCTGGCAATATCAACAATAGTATATTACTGGGTTGGAGCTGTCATCAAGTTTTCATCGATGGACAAAACAAGCATGAACGGCTGGTTATAATATTCTTTGAATTCAATAAAATAGACAGAAATAACAATGAACAGAAGAAGCAGCAATGCTGCTCAAGCCATCAGCAATGGAGGCCATCACTACGCAGGTCAACAGTGAGCTGAAACGAGAACTGCATTCTACTCAAGCCCTTTAGTTCATCAGCAGTCGGTGGAGGTGGCAGTGAGGGTGTTGGCGACGGAGGTGCTCGCAGCTTATCACCGGCGTTGCGTTCCGGCTGCAGTGGTGGCGGGGGTGGTGACGGCGGAGGGCTTTCCGCCGAGTAGGAGTTAGATGAAGGTAGAGAGTAGTGCGAGGCAGGGGAAATCATGCTGGGCTTGGGCACGGTTGGAGCGACCGGTGCCGTACCGAGGTTCAAGTCCACGGGTACAAACGATAGCTTGCTGAGCGACGAATGGGAATAGTGAGACACATGTGGTGCGGTGCGAGGTGATCCGCCACCGGCACTGCCCACGGATGATCTACTCACAGCTTTGCGCAGCATGGGACTGTCCAGATCCGCCTGGTGCAAGCTGACGCCGCTGTCCGCCGTGATGCTGGAGATGCTGCGACGATGGTGCGGCGCCAGGGTCTGCGGTCTCGGCGACTCGGAGTCGTCGTGCGGCGCCTCCGCCTTGCGCTCCAGCGATCCCCGGCCGCTGTCCGTGCAGGAGTCGCAGCGCACGGTTCTCAGGTGCGACGCCACACTTGTGGTGGAGATGGTCTCGGACAGCACGTCAAACTTCAACGGAGATAAAGGGGGACTTGAGCTGGAGTGATTCCTTTCCTAGCACAGAGGGCAGCAGACGAACACACACACAATGGGCACAGTTAGACTTCGTTACAAAGACCCAAGGCAATGGGCAACATCAGACTTTGTCGTGGAGACTCAAACACACACCGTAGGCACAGTCAGACTTCACTACTGAATCCTTTCTGCAGCCTTTTACTGACCAGCAATGCAATGCCACGCATACAGACCATTCAATCAGGTACAGTGTACAATACAGCCTGATGTGTACTCTGGCACATTGGAAATATGCTCCACAGCGGTGTGAGGGAGAGATGGTGCTGTCTCCATGGAAATGCAGTACATTCAAACGATAGCTTGTCATGCATGCCACACAGCGTTGCCACAGACTTTGCAAATTATCTTGCAATGCAGCATAACAAGTGTTTCTCTGCTGCGCTCAGCTAAATCTCACCTCATCAATTCCCTGGATCTCCGCATTCTCCCAAGCCTGGCTGAACATCTGAGCAAACTTGGACATTGGACGTTCGGACTCCACGTGCACAGTATGCGAATCACCTGCAGCAGCCACACACCAGAATACACATTACAAAGCAATTAGCCATAGGGCAATGATTGCCCGAACAATGGCACACGGTATCTACCTTCTGTGCTACATGATGCATTGAAAAATTAAATTGTGCACACTTTCCATACACCAACAATGCGCACAAACCAACAAGGTAATCTTACTAACCAAAAGAGGGGGGTTATCTCTACAATAAACCTCAAGCCAATGATTATGTCACTGAACGCGCAGAATCACACAGGCATCGCTCTTTATAACTGCACCAAACTGTCCATTCGTGCAAGTCAAGGCCCCAGTAAATCAGGCAAAAAATCAGAATATCGGCTTACCAGTGACATTGGCAAATGGGTTGGGTGCAACTCCCCTAATGGACGACTCCCTGAAGGATTTTGATTTCTTGAGCATCACCTCAGCAGAGCTTCCTGATCGGCGAGCCACTGAAGGAGAGCATGAAGAAGCAACATAAACACATGCCATGTCAGATCAACTGCACTTTCTTCACTCACGTCCAAATTCGATGAGAATTGTTTTGTGAGAACTACCAATGCATTCTAGTCTGAAAATGCTCTCCATTGCTTCACAAACCAATACAACCTGACAGAACCATCGTTTCTCATCATTCTGCCAAGGCGGAATAACGATTTTGAACGAGGATACTGCATGCTCTGGTGGCTTTCCTGAATGTATAACTTAGTATTTCTTCTGTAATCGGATGCTGCCCTTCAGCTTGGTCCTATTCCACAGGAGACTGTGTCACAGGCAGCTTAGCTTACCTCGTTTAGCAGCCACGGTGTCGTCTTTGTGTCGGATGTAGATCTTCTCCACCTCCAGCCAGTCAGAGCCAAGTAGGACATCGGCACTTTCATCGTCGTTCACAAAGCGGTTACCTAAGGTTGAGCAGAACAAAGCAGCGTGGATTGACATCTCCGTAATACGCACAAACATCTACAGGAAGTGTCCTATTGAATTGATGCACCCCACTATGATATTGAGACATTGAGACATTGCTTTGTGGTACCGTTTGGCCATGTATGGGTCGATACGGGGAGTTGGATGGGAAGCCAATCATCACACGCTCAGGGAACATGCTGTATGACACTAATATAGATGCTTGATCAGGCCTAGTCAAGGTAGACATGACACTGACATATTGTGCAATATATGTTACGCACCGCTTAGCACAGGAAGCCAAGGCCAGATTGAATCAAGGTGACATGTGACTCCACCGTGCAGACATTTAAATTTAGCAACATCTGTCATCAATATTTCCATACAGAGCCAACGGCATTCAAAAATGTCCGTGCCTTTCAAGGAAACTTTAGGGCATTGAGAGCTACCATGTGGCACAAGGTGATCAGTGATGATAGTTTAGACACTTCCTGTAGTTCAGAATCTCATTGTCCATGATGCTCACTCAGCACTTCAGAACAGACCGGAACGCATACACAGATCACCTTGATACACACAACAGTATGACATGCGGTGGATCACGTTGCACTGGACTTCGACATGTGAAAAGAATGCCATGCTGCGATGGTCATGACTGTGTTCAATATACAGATGCCAAGACAGCCAACACAGGTGTATTGTGTGATTTGTGTCACTCCTGAACACACAGTATGCTCGTGGGTGTACGGGGCACCGCCAGTGCTTCAAGCTCACCTTCTTTCCTATACACGATGTAGAACTTGTAGTCATGTCGTTCACCCTGTAGGTCTAGACGTGGCCATAAACGATCCAGTACTTCTTCACAGCTCTCCTCCTCCATGAAGCGTACACTACGATACGTCTCATCTCTATAGACCACAGAAAAGGAAGATGGCAGGAGATGATAGCTCAGCTTAGAAGTGCAATCATGTACATCAAGGCCAGGAGATCAATACGACAATGTCATAAACACCCAGGCATGCAGTGCACAGATTTTCAGAACAACATTATTACTCCCAGCCCCCCCACCCCGCTCTAACTTTTACTGGACAGCCATCTGGAGGCACTGTTGGCTAAAGGTCGGCTGATGCTGCTGATTTCACTATAACCTCACCCAGACCCGTCATTTTCCATGCATAGGAGCCACAACAGAGCGTACTTTCATAAGACCAACAGCTAGTGACGGTGTTGCAAGGCAAGGTTTTTATCTTCAATGCAGATGTCACCACAGGAAGCACATTAACCCGACCAAACGCCCAACTGCCCTGGTACTCCAACAAGTGCACTGCATGGCCCAGTGGCAGGAGTTGCAATACAGTCATAGGAGTAAACCCTGAAGGCCTGCTTTGTTCACACATACTCCTGACCAGTATTATCCTACACAATAGCACCTGCCACACAGAACGATCTCAATTCACATCTCGTTCACCCAGCGTCCAGGTGCACTGTGCGGCATGTACCCAAAATTGGCGCAGTCGAACAAAAGATCTCCGTGTATCAGTCGGGCCCACGCTTCCTGCACTGGCACCCACATTTACCGCGAGGCCTTGCTGCTAGAACAAAACCTGCCACACTGAGAGCATTATACGGCGGTAGTTGACACACGCCGCCGGTATACTGGTAATCTCTGCCCCAACACACACACACACACACGCAAATCTGCTAAGTTCAAGATGAAGAACTCCCTCCCCCCCCCCCCCCCCCCCCTCACACACACCCACACACGAGCAAGATCAACTCCACGCCCACCCAATGAGTACCCACCTGAAGAAAACACGGACCACACGCGCTTCAGAACCGCTCGCACCTAATAGAGAAAAGACCACAAAGTGCATACAAGCATACAAGGTGAGAATTGTTATTGCATATCCTGGCAAGATGGCTATTACAGGAGCAATATGCTATGTGCATGTAGAACCCGTTCTATATACTGCAGATTGCTTCTCCACAGGTGGACGTCAAATTCAACAGACCACAACCTAGCATTCATGGGTGCTACAGTAGCCGGTGTGACTGCAAGGGGCTAGCTAGCATAGAAACAGGCTGTACAATGATGCACTGAGTGATTTGTCAGTGGGACGGATCACTGAAGGTAGCCAGGGGATGGCAATTCCACTATCACTCAGTCTGTGCAACCTCCCCACATACCAACCGACCTAGGCTTCAAGCAACAAGTGCAAATTGCCACCTCCAGCAGAAGAGACTTATATACCACAATGACCCAGGGCAGGACATACCACAATGATCCAGGGCAGGACATACCACAATGACCCAGGGCAGGACATACCACAATGACCCAGGGCAGGACATATCATAATGATCTACTGTTACACTGTATTCAATGCTCTGTGGCCTGAACCTTTACAAACTGATCTCCGGAACACACAGTGACTGAACTAATATTGCACTCAATACACATGGGCTCCCCACAATCAGTATAATTATTTCAAGCAATGTCACTTTCTGTTGTGCGACAATCCCTGTCCATAAGTGTAAGCATTATCCACCTGCTACTCCAGCATTTAGCAATGACAGAGTCTTGCTCCTAAAGTAGTTAGCTAGGTTCAAGTATGAGCACTGCTACTGTCCGCAGAATAGAGCCTTGAGTCACCTCCATTCAGACTCAATGGGGGGGGGGGGGGGGGCTATACTCGTCTCCACTCTCTACTGCCTGGTCATCTTATGCAAAGCACTGGAACAACAACCCCTGGGTAAACAAGTACTGAACATGAACCTGATCCCACCATCAAACATACGACTCAGTGTCTGCTAATGAGCCATGCACCGAAATTCAATAACAAAATTGGTCGCTGTCACGTAAGGTTGCAGACTTGCATTACTGCACGCTCTCTGATACTATACATGCACGTGCACATCACCATCTATTGCAGTAATTGGATACAAAATTCCTAGTTCGCAGATAAACATCTCTCCTAGCACATCCCAGCATCCCCATGCTAGTTTACATTGTGTTGTTCTCTCTCCATTGTTTTCTATCCGTAACAAACCTTACAAACATGCTATCTATGCAAGCTAGAAAAGTCCTGCTGAATTGTTCTCCATGCCGCTTTGACTTCCCCCATTACCTATCCAGACTGCTGGGCAATAGAAAAACGAGTTTAGTCAAGGGCTTTAGGCCCAGCTCAAGCCCAAATTCCCCTCAAGCCACCAGGCATACGACAGAACGTGCACCACTACAGCACTAGTAGGGGCAGACTACCGCCAGTCGCCCAGTCACTAAGTGCAGCCCTTCAGTTTTATTGCTCTCCTCTGGGCCTTCAACAGGAGAAATAAAGGCAATCCTCACGTGGTTGGAATGTCCTAGAAAAGGGAAATGGAAATCGTTCTTGCAACTGAACACAATAATCGCTTGGTCACCCGCCCTGAGTCAACCCAATCCTCAGGACTGCCGATCCTTGCAGCTGATCACGTTTCTACACGAACGGTTTCTACGCCCTGTGCGCGTCGCCTCTCTAGTGACTGACCAAGCATAACCATAGTGCTGCCTGCCGACCTAATCATGTTCGAAACCTAACATGCACAGCCACAGCCACAGGTACCTGGTTTCTGCAGCACGCATCGCAAGACGCCAGGCACACAATCTTTGACTTTGGTCGCAGGTGCAGGACACAAGGTCGCAAACGCCAGTTTTCTCATGGACCGTGTCTGGTCGAAACTCGTTGACAGCACACTCGCTTTGCAGTGATCAGCCTTCAGTTTTTCTCTTCACAGGTTGTTTACAAGTGCTGGCACACACCACGACCACCTGCCACTGATGAGCTAAAATAAATAATGTCCAGCTTCACCTCTTTTGTTTTCCATGCCGCCCACACCCAAACCAACTTTTCGACAAGATACATTTCCAAAGTCCTCATCTACCTTACCGATATGAATGACAGAAAATGGCATTGGCACGCGAATACAAAGCCAAACAAAGTCCACACAAGAAAACGACAATAACACCGATATAAGTCAGACCCCTGCCAAGCGAGCGGCGGTGAATCGAGCACAACGCCGTTCGTTCTCGACATCTCCCACGACTTACCGCTGCCAAATATAGATGTCCTCCGTTTTCCCTGCCCAGCATCGCCATCCAAAGGACCTTTGCTACCGCGTCCAGAATCGTGGCCGGAGCTGTAACGTCCTCCACTTCCACAAGACCCATTTGTGTGTCGACGGTTCGACTGAGAGCGACCATAGGAATCGCTTCCAGACAGGTCATCGTTGAAACTACTGTGTCTCCTGGCCGGAGAACCAGAGGATGATCCAGCAGAGATCGAGCGATGCCGTTCACCATCATGACCTCCTGTTGGCGAACCAGTACTGCTCAAGTCGTCACCACTGTCTCCGCTGAATGTGGTGGATAGGCGAAGTGCTGTACTACGAGAGGCCATGAGCTCTGCTTCCGAGCCGGCATTCTGACTGGATACCTTGGCTGAAGGCGACTTCCTGCTGCCAAGGCGTAGTTTTCCAAGCGGCATACTCACTCACTGCACAGCCTAACGACTAATTTCTCCAACAGGGAAACTTCTGACAAAGTCGTCTGTTATAAAATGTTTTGACCAGAAAGGTCACTGGCAACGCTGGCTGAGCTGCCGCCGTCCTGCAGCACCAGTTCACATGTGACTGTGGCCTTTTTCCCGGTCGCGTCACTCCGGCTCTTGCTGCCAGCTCAAGGGCTCGTATCTCTATAGTATACGTTAGGACTCCGCGCTTACCAACCGCTAGCCAACGAGATCACACCGGCTCTTCCACTAACGCGAGCAATTACCGTTTTACTGAAAATTGTGACTGCAGCCAGTGGCTAGATCTTGGGAACCAGACGTACTCGAAATAAGAAGGTGCACAACTACTGTCACCAGAAAGTGAGCATTCTCCAAAACGTAATCTTCCGTCAAAGCTTCCAGTCGTCCTGCAATCAGATGTGTCTGCTTGTGCTCAGGTTGAACGAATGAGCAATCGGCTGAGGACGTCCAGAGCAAAATACTATGCCACCTCTGCCTGCCTGCTTTCTGGCTGGTAATGCTGGCGCAGCAACAACGACGTTGAATGAATGCTGCATACACAGCGCGCCAAGAGTCTATGCCTTGTGGGAGACAATAGATTATCGACGCATGGGTCAGCGTCAAGACGGGGCAAATGCCAAGGGACGCTGAAAACTGTCCACGTCCAGGACTGAAAACATGCCACCGCTGTACGATGACGAATAAGGACACAGAGCGTCAGGACAGAAAAAGACCCTGCGCTACTCAGCTCGTCAGGAACGCGTCTCTCGCTGCGGGTGATCAGCTGGCTCTCGTGATGAAAACTAGCCCTGATCCTGTACTGGCTTCGGTCACCGTCTAGCTTGGTTTCGCCCGCATGTGTGAGCATAGAGTGATCGACCGTACAGCGCGTAGAGCATGCTCCGTAGCACGGCAGATCGCCTGGCAAGATTTGACTCCTCTCGGCCAGCCCGACCGTGCGCTCCGCGCCGCGGACGGTTGTCGGCGATGTGCGCAGCTTTTTCTTTGACACTTGTGCATGTGCACGACTTGGCGGGATCCTGACTCCTGTACACGTAGAAAAGCACGCAGTCTTTTGCTGTGACAGCGGTACTCACACAGTCACAGTGCGTTACTACCAGTATACGTTGCTGTCTAGAGTGTTACCCTGTACATGTACTAACTACCATGACTGCTCACAGTCACCGCGCTATGCAAGCAGAGATTCGCGAAGTCCTCTTGCTCGCCGTCATTCGCGCGTCATACGCCGATGGCGCACATGAGGGCTACTCGCCTCATTTGCCAAGAACATGTAGTGATTGTTCGTGTCGCTATCTGGAAATAGTTCGGGTGCTGTCAAGCCCGCTGTACTAGTCTAAGCTATACAGTCGGACACACATTCCCACAAAGGCAGCAAAACTTCAAAAGTAAACTGCTGCTCCAAGCCCTGTTTGAGGCGGTTTGATGACCAGGTATCACGGCAAATACACAGGGACATTTAGGTGGGACCCTACATTTAGGTGGGACCCTTCTTGTCGTATGGTCGCTTTACCGAGCCGAGTGCAGTGCACACAATCATGGCTCGCTGGATGCAGTCTTTGCAGGATCATGGTTATCACGCTCATGCCGTAAAAAAATAGTGTTACTGGCCATGGATATGTTCCGAATCTAGACTACAATTATCATAGTCATTACTGTCACTGAGTGTGTTCTTGGTGTAGGAGATCCTTTGTGTACATGTACGTGTAGATCTACAATGAATGATATTCGCCATCCATCACGGATGTATCATGGAGTACTAGTGCAATGCAGGAAACAAGTGGAAGTGTTGTTTTTGTGGGTTATGACTTGCGACGTCTTTCGGAGCTCAGGTGAAGTGTGCCAATACCAAAATGTAACAATTGTTGGTATCTGTATCAGCTGTTAGGCCGTGCTCCCGTCACAATTGTATCCCTGCACCTTTTCCCGAACTGCTCCGAATGATGTTATGTTCAGGGTCTTGGTAGCTGTTTACACTCGCACATGACAATAACGGCCAGTGTGTGTTGCCATCCCACTAATAATACGTTTGAAAGCTACTAGTAACGACTTCTTTGGAATAAAGGTTGTAGGTAAAGCCTTCACCTAAAATCCCGAATCCTGAGGACCGGCAGGTTCACCAGACAGCTCCAACAAACTCACAGAGTCAGTGATTCAGCAGACAACATTCACCCGTCATTTCAGTACTACAGTAGTAGATCATTGAGTATTCTGGCCATCATAATGACAACCAAGTATGTACATGTATAGCACGGACGTCTCTGACGTCAGGAGAGCAAAAAGAGAAAAGCCTTCTAGTTCTCTGACGATGATGGATCATGCATGGGAAGTGAAATCTTGAATGAAGTCTGCGCGCGGCCGGGTTAGAGTAGACACATCCGAAAATCCGGGGCTCCTGATTCTTGAAAGGCAGGCACGTAAGCACTACGGAACACAAAATAATGCAGTCAACATCAGCAAACAAAATAGAACACTTGAACCAGGAAGCGTGCACTGTTGCCAGTTACTTTTAAAGGTTCTACGACAAAACAAACTAAATACAACCATGTTCTGTTCTGCAATACACACGTTGCAGTAGAACTGTTGTCGCAGCGGATGTAACTGTTGGCTGTGTGTGTGTGTGCGTGCGTGTGTGTGTGTGTGTGTGTGTGTGTGTGTGTGTGTGTGTGTGTGTGTGTGTTTGTTCGGCGTGAGTCCTGTGGCAAGTACAAATCAACAGGTAAAATAAATGCTACCAAGCACATGTACATGTAGATCTTCGTTCAGACAATGTCCTGTTTCTAGCCGAGTGATTCACTCATCCGCTAGATTGTTTTAGTCCGGGGCTGCATGCAATGACTTATGTAGGGCTGAGGCGGGTCACTTCATGCTTACCAATGCAGCAATGCTAACAAGTGGTGCCCAAGGTTAAGTCGCTTGTCTCTCTTCACTGGCGGACCAGACAGGTTACTCTGGTGCATGTTCTTGTTTGAGCAAAGAGTGAGTCCCTCCAGGCTCGCCTTCTTTGAATGATGTGAAACGCTGTCGCAGTCGAAATCGATTTGTGGTCGTGCCCCAACCCAATGCGCGACACGAAGGAGGGAGAACATAAATTCCATGCAGTGTCGACCTGATTACTACGGTCATGTTCTGTCGGCAGGAATGCATTGCTTGCCGTCAAGTCTATCACAATCGCTTTCCCTCTTTTATCTCTCCATAGCACTCGCTCACTAGTCGGCCATCTTGCTGCCTGCTCTGTAGATATCCCGATGTGCACTAGTGGGAGTACTTCCTTGACGAGGTACGCAATCTGCTTGTGCACGGTGTCCAACAGCAGCATCTGTATTCTACCAGCGATAGTGAGCTACTTGTGTGCAACATTGTACTGCTGCTTGTAGCGAGCTGCTAGTGTGGTGTGACTAGCGAGCTATCCTACAACTAGGCTACATCCGTATTGCCAGGGAGGGACCACTGACCGACTCACTGCACAATGGCAATTACAATCATACCACTCATGCGAGTTTCCTTTCAAGGTCACACACGGTTTGCGCGTGGTTAGCTTGCAGTAATAAGCGGGGAATGCGTCCCCAGCCGCGGGGAGTGACTTGGACATGGCTGCACAACATAATGGACGTTCCTTTTGGGTTCCACATCATGACGGCGCATCATTTGGTAGCTTGTACGATAGCTCAGGAATCAGGAAGATCATTACACGCCTAGTGCACCCTGCCAGTTACCCACTTTCCAGCGTGTGGTTCCACGCGGCTGGTGCGGATAGAGGTTGCCAACGACGTAATGGTTTGATGTCTATAAACCAATGCTTAAGAGCTGGCAGCAAATTATTTCACCGCCCTTTCCTTGTACTGTACTGTAGTGACCACTTTGCCATAGCGTCATTGAGCCTAATGTCTGGCGCAGAGGACACTACAATGGTCCTAGAGGGCAGAGCTGTTACTCAAGCAGTTACCTCGTGAAATTGGATCTCCGACACATGTCTGCAACCACCTGGCTGGTGGTGAAATCCTTGTTTCTTGGCTTCAGTTACAAGATCTTATCGCCACGGGGATTGAATTGTCTGAATTTATCCTACAGTACTGAAAGGAAGTAACAGTTAGATCCACAGAGCTTCACCACTACTAGTATACAGGCGGTATAAACTTAGGTCGAGTACATATTAATACAATGATTATGTTAGTCGACCACAAGTACCTGTACAATGTTGGCCGAATAGCAACATTGGCTACATGGCTTATTCTAGCCTGTCATGTGTGGAGGTAACTTGAGAGTTCCTGATAAGATTAGGGTAGACCATTGACTGCGGGCTGGACATGCTCTGCGATAACCATCAAAGTTGTGAACTTGTGACCAAAGTGTGTTAGTAGTTACGGTGAAACTCCGTGCCATCTCTGTGTGATAAACGTGATAAAATGAGCATGACGACGTCACCTCCTCTTGAAAGTTATTCTGCATTATACACTAGTATCAGGTGCGTGGCGCTGCCTCCGTGGCCGTTGCTCTCATATGATCATGGCTGACTAAACAGTAGCAGCATCAACTGTAATCTTCTCCTAGGGAGATAACAATTATCCATCAGAAACATCCATGGTGCATCAGGTGGAAAGGCGTGAACAGCTAACAAATGCGCTTGACTTCGTCATAGCCTTCGTAGCGATCACGTGTGACTGTGGGTAATGGCACTTGGCAGTGCATACATGATGCACCTTTCGCGATTCGAAGGACTCAACCTTGGGGTAAGTCAGGGGAATTGATGGTGATGCTTCTAGTGCTAGTGATGCCGGTGATGGGTTTCTGCACCTTTCCATGTTCTCCGCCGTATCGCGCATGGTGTGTCCAAAGTGTGCAGTTTTCCAGCACACAAATGTACAACCTCACTTAGAAATAGAAACTGTAGTTTCCTGACACTGATACTAGACGCCGTGTACGTGACTGTATCTCAGCTACAATAACTATGTACATCCGCGCGTGTACATCTACATGACTGTACACCTTACTTGTACTAGTATGTCTATGTCTGCGTCCATGTACGTAAAAAGTCGTTGTAGTTGTAGGTGTGCCTAAAGCCGTAAAGGTGTCTCTGGGACGCGGTACCTCGCGTTCTTGTTGCCCGATCTACCGCCGTCACGGCACATTGACTGACGTATGTACGTCGTTTTCAGTGTTCCGACGATGGACTGCGTATTAGTGTACAGGTTCGTGTTCTACATAGTTTCGGTAGGACATCCTACAACACTGATACTAGTGATAGACTACTAGACTGTAGTTCTTGGATGGGAAACTTCTTGGCGCGGCATGAACATGTAGGAGAAAACGCGTCGAAACTGCAGGGGACGCAGACACTGCTGTATGTTGGCCTTGAGTTCGACTTCTATCAGTACCGCGATGCTTGTGGGATTGTCTCAAACACGCCGCACCCAGCTAAGCTAGGGTCTTCGATGGTTGCTGTCTTTAGAAATTGTTTAAGGTTTGTACGATGTATGTTGTTGGGCGTCTTTCCTCCCCGCAGCTTCTTGTCGCAGGCTGACGTTGCCTGCACGCTAACACGCTGCCTGCACGCTAACACAGGAGCACCATCCTAGCATACACTTGTGTTTCGTTGTGTGCTTTTTTTCACTCCCGCCAGCTTCGTTATCTCTCTGTTCCCATTCGCCTGGGCACATGGAGCA